TCAATTTATATTTCCATTAATGAGAGCCAAGCATACAGGCACACTTTTCAGTTTATCAGTAGCTGAACTCAGATAACAGAAGTCTGATGGGATAATCTTTCTCTAGGAAAGTGGCTGCTACCTAAAACTGAGAGAAATTAATGGTGTTTGAAGATCCAGAGGATGTGGGGGAAAGGAATAATGGTTGTGAGGTTTCACTCCATCTTCTTTATGAAAATATACTTATGATATGACTGACATAACTGAGATATACTTTATGCAAGATGGGTCTTGTAAGGTATCATTGGAAAGGTTATGATTTACTGAATGTGATTATCCAATTTGTATGAATGTATCATTTATGTATCTAAAGTTAGAAATATGGACTATGTAACAATTACAACTGGGTGTGTATTGGGAAGACATCCACCAGACGACAGGCCATCAAATCTGATGAGCCATCAGAAAGGAACAAAACCATGAAAATACTAATCTCTCTCCCTCCTGGGAGGCATCAGGGACAACTGTGACACTACAAGGTCAGGTGGTCTCATTATCTGATATTAAACATTACCTGGGACTTTTTGTAACTTTCCCCTGAAGGGAAGGGGGTTAAGTTTGGAAAACGAATAGGATTTACATAAGGCAGGAATCCTTTAAGGATGGGGAGAAAGGCAAATGCGACTTCTCCTCTCCATGGCCTGTCTGCCCGAGAGGAGAAACTGCTAAAGCCACCTGAAGAGAAGGCAGAGTGGAGTCCAGCCTGAGACAAGGGTCCAATCTGAAAAGAAATATAACTGGAACTCTAAACTACAGAAACTTTGCAACCTGTCTAAAATAATAATATGGGTAAGAAATTACATTTTGTAACCTGTTTCTTAAGTATATTGAGCTTAGCTTGCATACTTGTTCAGTAAACTGCTTTGTTCTGTCTTTTATCTCTTATATTCACTTAAAATTCACCTTTTGTAGTTAATGAACAAAACAAATTTTATTATTTAACCCAGTTTCTAGAATTTCTAACTGGGGGGGCGGGGGAGTCGTGCACATCTCTCTTCACCGTGAGGAAGAGGGCAAATTTTATGAGCTTGCACTGTACAAGTATTTCTCTACAGTGCAAGACAGTAGTATTTTGGGTTTGTCTCCCAACAGGGGTGGGCACATGAGTGCTGGGGGAGCCATCTCACACAGAGCTGATTTCAGTCTGTAGCTGCAGTGGGATGCGGCCCTACGTGCGTGTATGTGCTGCAAGAGGCCAGAGAGCTTAATTCAGCAAAGCAGTAAGAGGGAAGGAACCCAGGCTGATTGAGCAGGGGAGGCTCAGTTAAACCACAGCACATCAGGTGGCAGCTCACCCGTCACAATGGCTTCCTTACTTTGGATGAAAAAGACAAATTTGAAAACTCAAAAGCCACACCTGGTAATGTTAGCTTTTTTCCCAATCCTCTCTCTCCCACTAAACACAAAATGTGTAGAGCAGGGATGGGCAAACTTTTGGGTGCGAGGGCCACATCTGGATGGGGAAATTGTATGCAGAACCATGAATGTAGGGCTGGGGCAGGGGGATGGTGTGCAAGGTGTGGGAGGGGGTGCGGTGTGCAGGAAGGGGCTCAAGGCAAGGGGTTGGGGTGCAGGAGGGGTTCATGGTGCAGGCTCTGGCCCGGTGCTGCTTACCTCGAGCGGCACCGGGGTGGCAGCGGCATGCAGTGGGGCCAAGCATGTCCGGTAGTGGCTCCTGGGGGTGGGGTAGGCGGCTACACTGCGTGCTGCCCTCGCCTGTGGGTACCACCTCTGAAGCTCCCATTGGCC